GGGACTATATAGATGAAATACAGCCTCCTCTGCCACCGGCTGCTGTCACTGCATACGCCTATGCCTGGAATCCTGCCCTCAGCATGGCTTGGTGGTGGCCGCAGCAGGCTGCTTGTCCTGTTCGGAAGTTCACGAAGTTCACTACAGGCTTTGCAAGGGGACTGGCTGCAAAATACTAATGTGTTCGCTTGCTAGGGCCACGCTGAGTGTCTAGGAGCAGCATTCCTTAAAGAACAGCCCGACCAGGACACCATGCCTTCCCTCGCCCTGACCTTGTCTGTGGCCACTGCTATTTGTCACGATCACACGGCTTTGCTGCTGCACCAAAGCACAGGCCTTCCACAGAGCCCAACGCGTGCTTGCCAGATTGGAATCTCTGGCCACAGCAAACGTCACCTTGGGATGGAATGCAGCTGAAGCTGCCTCGGGTCATGGGAAATGGTGGCCTTGCTTTCCGTCAGTGGGGACAGCTGTTAAAAAGCAAAGCTCAGCTAACCAAAGTCTGATAGGAAGAGAGAGGGAGGGAGGAGAGGAAGGGGGCGAGAGAGAAGGGGAGAAGGAAAGAGGGAGGGGGGAGGGGAAGAGGAGGCGGGTAGGAGCCAGAATGTGTGAGTTGGGTGGGGGGAGCAGTAGATAGTTGCTGAGGGAGGGGGCATGCAGGGGCTGCTGGTTTAGGGGCCACTTAAGGCCTTTGACTGTGCCTGATGGCACAGCTCAGCCGCAGCCCCTTTGGGAGGGTGCAAGCGTGGGTTATAGGATGCCTTGCCCCTGGAGGCCGAAGCGAGACACACCTGAATGGCTCTAAGTTCATCTTCCTTTCCCTCCCCGGCTCAGGCCACCAACCCTCCCGTGTTACACGGCAGATTCATTTGAAAATTGAGTTGCAGCTGAGTGAGCTGATGTTGATTTCAAAGTTCACTGGTGTTTAATTAGAACCATCTTGAGACTAAACCGGCTCCAAGGAAATTATTCTGACCGAATAATTAAAGAGAATAAAGGTTAGATTTGTGTTTCTGGTTAAGTCTGTGTTGTAGTCAACACTTCCAAAACATGAATCTCATTAACCTTTCTCGAACCAACGGTAAATTGCTCCCAATGAGCTGTTATTCTAATTAAGGCAGAGTCATTGAGAGGAGCCTTTGTTTCTGGTTGGTGGCTGTGCCAAGTCTCCTTGAAGTGGTCCTTGGGCAATGGTTTTCTAACTTTCTCCATGCTCAGGTGCCTGCAGCTCCCTTCCCTGGGACTTGCTCACAGAGCAATGGGGAGAACTGGGCCTCAGACAGAGGCCACAGGTGTGGCTGAGAAGGTTGAGTTAAAAGTTGCAGGGTAGCTGAGGTGGCCTAGGCAAGCTTCCTGGTCTTCTAAGGAGCCCTGCGGGTCAGAGCCTTTGAGGAATGCTCACTGAGTGCTGGTGACCTTGTCTGGGTTGTGAACTAGGAGTGGCGGAGTTAGGCTATAGCAGGAAACGGGCCAAGCCCCTATGTACCTGCTGCAGACTCCCGAGTATGAACATATTTTGTCTTTTCCAAGTTGATTATAGATATGCTGAGTTATAGCAAGTAGCATGCCTATGCCAAGGCAGGATTCCCTAAGGTGAACCTCCAGCCCCTAGAACTCATGAAGCCCGCAGTCCCTCACCTTTGTCCCTGCCCCCTGGCTGGGAGTTCTATTACCCATGTGTCTCAGGCAGGAAAGCAGCTATATACTAGGGACCTTTCCTGACCTTTAAATGAATTATTGTGTGGTGTGTGTGTGGCACACAGGGCAGAGAACAAATGGCAACTTGCTGGAGTTACTCCTACCACGTGACCTTGGGGAAGAATGGAATTGAGTCATCAGGCTGGGGAGGGGGGCGGCGTGACGAAGATCACAACGACAATGGCGGACACAGAACAAAACAGTCTCACCAGCTGAGCTAGCTTGCTGTTTGATTTGTCTTGTTGTTGTTGTTTGTCCAGTGTTTGCAGTGTTTCAGGCCCAGAGGAACCTCTGTGTGGTCTGGATGGGCAGCTGGTGACCAAAACAGGCAGCCTGACTCCATTGGAGAACTCAGCGCCTCCATCTTCCTGCTCAGTGGTAGCTCAGGCCTGGGTTCCAGCGTGCTACCCGCTGACCCAGATACCGGGTCATGAAGCCTTGCCTTCTCTCCTTGACTCTAGCTCCCTGAGATGTCTTTAATTCACAATTTTGTTGTTGTTGTTGCTTTTTTGTTGTTTTGTTTCTCGAGACAGGGTTTCTCTGTAGCTTTGGAGCCTGTCCTGGAACTAGCTCTTGTAGACCAGGCTGGCCTTGAACTCACAGAGATCCGCCTGCCTCTGTCTCCCTCCCGAATGCTGGAATTAAAGGCGCTCGCTACCACCGCCCAGCTAATTCACAAGTTTTATGTGTTTCTTCACGGGACCCCCACCTGTCCTTTTCTAAAGTTCTTCCATGCATAAATCTGGGGTTACCTGGAGATAGGAACCCCAACGGCTAAGGGACTCGTTTCATCTTCACAGTCAGTGCCCCCTAAGGCACACATCATGCTGTTGTCACTGATTCTGCTGTGGGATGGTGGAGACAGAATGAGGACACTTTCTCTGCCCCCCAGAACTCATGGGGTTAGCCTGGTGTCCCCAGCTCTCCAAGGGTAGGGCCAGGGAACAAGAAGGCAAGAGGCAACACTGTTTAAATTTTATATAGCCCTAGGGAAGTAAGTGTATGCTGAGACTGAGGTGAGCACCTGCATTTTGGCCAAGCAGTGAGGGGGTGGGGAAGATTGGTGCTAAAGAGTGGGAGTCAGGCTCAGGTCTGTTCTGGAAACTTCTTGTGGCATGGTGAGGAGAGCTCAAACTCTGGTTGGCAGGCAGCAGATGTGTGCATTGGGGACAGTCACCAATTCCAGTGTTGAGCCCTCAGGGTGATGGATTGGAGAGGAAACAGGCTTGAGGTGAGGCCCGGGAACTACGGGGAACTGGAGGCTGCTCTGCCTGTGTCTACTAGTCGTGTGTCCCTCGGGTATGTGAGTCAGTGGCACAGTGGCTGCGACACTGGAGGAGCAAAGAGCAGTCGCTGAGATCCTCAGGGCGAGGGCACATTCACGAAGTCTCTGGTTTGTACCTGGTTTCCTGAGTGGTTTCTTGGACAACTTCCTGAGTTTAAATTCGTTAATGTTTAATGAAAAACTCAATCATATATCACTTATTTAAAAAAAAAAGAAAGAAAAGCCTACCTTAACATTTCCCATGGAAACGGTGTCAGTTTTGTTGACTGAATGGCAGCCTCATTACTGGAGCCGTCTGCCTGCTCTCCTGCAGTTCCCAACACTGTGGCCTTCCAGGACAGACGCTCTTGTGCCATGAAGGGGCCCGACTTCCCTGTGCCAGGAATCGATAGCTAATGAAGTCATACCCAGAGGTCTGGCCTTGCCTGAGGAGATGGGGGATAGAGCCCCAATTCTATCTCTCCTTCCTCGTGGGGTCAGAAGCTGGGGCAACTCAGGCAGGTAGCAAGCATTTAACTTCACCTCCACCACCACAGGCAACACATTCACGGGGGCTAATTCCTGGCTAAGTAATTACTGGGTCTTTTTCACTATGGCCAGCAGGCTCGTGCATCACTTAATGGAGATCTGGGTGATTTCTTCCTTATGTGAACAACACAGTAATGTCTACAGACAGCGGTATCACTAGGCAAGATGACATTATGGGATGGGGTGGTATGGTGGGATTGTGGTTAGGTTTTTGTTAGATTCTTCATCGGCCCCCAGCGGAAAGCTGGTCTACTAGGTAGGGGTGTAGGGCTCTGGGATTGTATAAATCCTGTCAAGGGGACTCTAGGTTCTGTTTAGAATTAATTCATCTTCTAAATGGAAATGTCAAGGCCCAGCAAACATGTTTGCTGATGATTCTGGTGATGAGATACACGGGAGCAGCAAACAGCCACATGGAAAGCAGTCACTTGGGAGAAAGCTGCTGGCCTCGCTGTGACGCAGGAGCCTCCTGGGGCTGCTCATCCTAAGTTCCCTTTCAGTTGATCGATTCTGAGCAAAGGTACCCAGCTCAGTGCGGGACCCAGGAGAGCGCGCCTGGGTAGCTTTAGGAGAGGGCTCCAAGAGTAAGAGCGAACAGGGCCTCTTGAAGCAAAAAACAGGTGTTGTGAAGAAAAAGGATGTCCTGCCTCAACAACGGGGCACAGCAAAGGCTGTGTGCCATTTGTTGCAGGGAAGTGAAAACTGCGACAGATGAGGCAAATATCCCTAACTTAAAACGTCTAAATCTGGAATGTTCCAAAACCTGAAACTTTTGAGTACTAAGATGATGGCCCCCAGTGGAAGACTCCACGCCTGATCTCATGTGACAGGTCACTCTCAGGATGCACAGGCATTTAATGCGTGAACCTGCCAGCTGTGTATGTGTATATTTGAAACACATATATGGATTTTATGTTAGACTTGGGTCCCATCCATCGATATCTCATTATGTGATGCAAACAATTAAAAAAAATCAGAGACCCCGTGCATTTTGGGTAGGAACAAGCTAACGTATACCAACTGCTGGCATTGGGATAGACCAGATGAGGCTTGGGTTGCCAAACCTGTGACCTCCTGCTGTCACACCTCAGAAGTCCACCCTCAGGTCCCTTTGTGACCAAAACACAAGAAATTGACGACACCTGTGATGGCAAAGCCACCCAGTTGCACAGTCATCTGAGCTGGGGTAGAGCACACAGGTGCACAGGGTCATAAAGGGCTTTGCTGGGAGTGTAGCTCAGGGAGTTGGCAGAATGCTTGCCTAGCATATACAATGCCCTCAGTTCAACTGCCAACACTATATAAAACAGGCATGGTGGTACATGCCTGCGAGCTCAGCACCTAGCAGGTGCGGGTAGGAGGATCTTTAATGTCATTTTGAACTATAGAGGAAGTTTGAGGACACCCTGGTCTACACAAGACATTGTCTTCAGGGTTTTGTTGTAAAATGGTCCCATGAATGGTATGTTCTCTTCAAAAAATGCAAAAGGGTTGTGCTTGCTTCGGCCGCACACTAAAACTGGAACGATCCAGAGATTAGCACGAGCCCTGCGCAAGGATGACACACAAACGCGTGAAGCGGTCCATATTTTTCTTTTAAAAAAAATCCAAAAGGGGAAAGGTCCCATGTATTTTCTGTTTTAAGTTCATTTTGAAATGAGAGATTAACATGAAGCTTAAAACTCAGAGTCCTGTGATTCCTTCCTCATTTTCCACCAGTGGTGAAACTTTATATAACTGTGTATTAACAGGAAATTGACAGTTACATTTAATTCACAGATGTTTCCCTGTTTAATCTATTCTACCTACCTATCAACCAGTTCTGGGCTTTGATGCCAGGTAATTCACACACACGTTCAAGCAACCACCATCTTTCAAGATACAGTCTTGAAAGAAAAACAAAACACAGGTGAGCACCCCGGTGCCACCCTTTTGTAGCCCCAGCGCTCCTTCACCGTTCCTGGCCACCACTAGTCTGTTGTCTCTTACAAGGTCCTTTTTGACACTGTTGAGTCTGAAGTGAGCCATCACCCATCATCTTCCCATCATCTCCCCGAGTATAATCTGGAGGTGAGATCATGGGATCTGGCCACATGGGCAGAGCCTTCAATCTGTGGCCACTGGCCATCTGTTTAAGTTACTGGTTTCCTCGGTCCTGTCTACTGAATGGTGACAATGGAACTTGGGACTGCTGGCTATCACCACTGGAGCTTCTGTGGGTGGGGGGGAGCACCGAGTGCCTCTGCTAGTCTTCTGGACAGAAAAAGCACTAGGATACAAGTTCAGTAAGCGAGATTCAAGGCAGTGGCTCAGGAAGTGGCAAGTAAGGTCACTAGTCTGTTCCTCTCTGGGTTCCTCTGGCTGGAGCTGAGAGTGGTGAGGCTAGAACAGCACCGGAGAGGGCCCTGCAGAAGGTGAACCCAGCAGCTTACACAGGGAGGTGTGGCCCCTGCAGGAAGTGCTGCAGCCTTTGTGTGTTTGGAAAACACCTGGGATTACTGAAGAACATGGGAAACAAACCTCCATCCACAGTGATTCCCCATCACTGCCCAACATGTTATCTGACTCCATCACATCACAGGCAGCCAAGGGAGCACTGGAGCCTGGGTTTTAGCACAGGGGTGGTGCACCTTGCTGGTCCTCAGGCAGGTCGGTGTGAGTTTGGGGCAATTCTGGGCACGTTCTTCTCCAGCAGGGCCTAGTGGCAGTGACATACATGCAACATGTCTGTAGGCAATGGGCCACACTCCTGGGCAAGGAGACTGTTAGTGGCTCCCTCCTTGTTTCCATCTCCTTTGCAAAATCAGAGTCCTACCCTTGCTGCAGCCTCCTTGTTCCTGTATAGTCTTTCTTGAGCCTTTTAAGCATGTAGTCCTGGCATGACCAGGGCTAAATGAGATTGGGCTTGCTATTTGGCCTTCCTGCCTCGATTCTTCAGCTAAGAGCTCCACAGGGGCTGATGGCTGAGGTGGGGGCGTGGCTTTCCCCAGTGCACTACACATCTCTGCTTAGCCTTTCATTAATGGGTTTGTCTATGAGGTGAGGATGGAGGGGCACGCATGGAATCCTAGCAACCAGGAGGCTGAGACAAGCCATAACGTCAAGGCCAGTTGGGTGCCGTGAGAATGTTCAAAAGCAAAACAAAACACACATATACACAAAATCCCCTCCCAATGTCCCCCCCGCCCCGTTTTTACATAACTGCTGCTTACGTAAGGGCCAGCTCCTGTACGTTTCCTTGCCTCAACACCTTTAATGCCCCTAAAAATCCAACTTAGTTTTCCTTATAGTTTCTTTCCTAGATTTGTTTTTTTAAGAATAATCGTTTCGGGGGCTGGAGAGATGGCTCAGAGGTTAAGAGCATTGCCTGCTCTTCCAAAGGTCCTGAGTTCAATTTCCAGCAACCACATGGTGGCTCACAACCATCTGTAATGAGGCCTGGTGCCCTCTTCTGGACTGAAGAAAGAATACTGTATACATAATGAGCAAATAAATAAATATTTAAAATAAAAAAAAAGAATAATCATTTCATTTAGCCAATTTTGGTGCTTCAGGCATTCTGTCCAACTTCAGTTAAGTGGATTTCTTTTTTCTTTTCCTTTTCTGAGACAGGATCTCACTAACCAGCCCTGGCTGGTTATGTAGACTAGGCTGTCCTAGAACTCAAAAGGACTGACTGGGACTGCTTCTGCTTCCCCAGCCCTGGGATTATTAAGGGCGTGTGTCACCATACCTGATGAAAGCCTCTCATGGCTGAGTCTGTGTGAAGGGCTGTGAAGGTGCATCCATCAGAGTTGAGTAAGTTCCCATGAGTACAGATGCCTGTGTAGTCAGCTTATGGCTGTGGTGTGGAGGATGCACATTGCTAAGATATGGGAGGAAAGCAGGGGATGCCAGTTTGTTGAGTGCAAGGCCTTCAAAAGACCAGCAGCAGGAAGCAGCCAGGCCACGAGGGTAACAAGAACCACCAGGACCACCCACTGTTAAAGAGCTATGAAACAACCGGAAGCTGCACTGTTCCCTATTAACTGGTGCACACATTAGAACCAGTTTCCTCTAGTGGCATGAGGTTTCCCACTACCAGGAGTGAGTCCACGATAGCAGCCAACAGGCGTCTCCTCCTCCACTGCCATACTTTCTGATATCTGGATCATCACACGAAGTACCAGAATAAACCAATTTAAGACACATGTAAAAAAGACCAAAGAACTGAGTACATGGAGCCTGCCTGTAATAACTTTCAAGGCAGAGGCAGGTGGACTGCCACAAGTTCAAGGCCAGCCTAGGGCACACAACAAGACTGTCTTCAACAACCACCACCAAACAAAAAAAGGCCAAGGAAACATTGATTATCTCATTTTTTAATCTTCAAAATTTTCTGCCATGACATCGGAATGCATGATAGAAATGGCTCATCTTCACATGAAACACTCGGGTTCATTTTCATTCACAAGTTTTTCTAAGAAAACATTTACACAATTCATAATCCCACATCCTTCCAGCCATTATCACAGGTCTGACTGACATGAAACAGTAGTTGCCAGCACAAGGGGCTGGCACGCTGTCTGCACAGGAGTAGTGTCTTTGGAAACTACCACCCAAGAGTATCATGATTATAAATCTCATTGTACATGGCAACCCCAAAGGAGACAGACGACCCCAAATAAAGTCCCTGTGTGTGGAGAGCTGTTTCTCCAGGCACTGAAAGAAATGTACTTTCCCCTCCTAGGATCCTTCTCCAAGGACTCGATTCCACCACCACCACTAACTGGTGGACAGATGCCTGACGCTGTGCTCTCTGCTAGCTGGGTACAGGCTGAACTGAAAGTCAGGTGGCTTAAAATCTCTTCTTTGGAAGAGAGTTACTTTGAGGTGTTTTTTTTCCCTTAATTAAAAAAAATGTTGTAAACAAAAGGAGAGATACATGGACATAAACCTAGACAGAGACTTATACTGCGAACATTTTGAAGTGTGCATCCTATCTAGAGATACACAGGTCTCCACTTGTCCCTCTGCACACACCCTTCCATACAGTGTGTGAGTACAAGTCTCCTAGTGTCCGTGGGAGTTCCCTGGAGCGTTCATATTTCCAAATGATGAATACCTGATATGTGTTACTCCTGAGAAGACACGAGAAGGGAATGACAGTTCTGATGCACTTTGGAATGGCACAATCACGTAAACGTCTGCATACTTAAGACTTCTGAACTTATGAAAAGTTTCTAAACATAATCCAACAACAAAAAAGTATGAAAACAATGTAGCAAGTTAAAAAAAATAAACAGTTTTTTTGTAATCAAAGTATAAACAAACATAGGAAATGCACACTTGTCAGTCATTTAAGTAGGAAACATATTTCAGAAAAATAGTTATCTGACAAAACTTGAAAAAAGCCCCTTCCCCTTGTATACCAACACATGCACTGCCCAAACCCAAGCTAGCCGTACAGGGCTGCAAGGCTCGCAGAGGAAGGAAACGCCCACAGACAGCACATCTGCAAAGGGTGCGCCCTACTAGGCAGAACTGTGACTACTACACTTCTGTAAAAAAGACATCCCTCGGTGTAAGAAGTCTGTATAAAAATTACAACTGAACCAATGAATTCAAGCACCAATTCAACCATTTACACTACTTCTACTGAGGGAACAGATAGTGCTGAAGGCTAGCGAAGGTTAGCAGTCGTCATTACAGTTTGTTTTTTAAAGGCATGCGGCTCTGTTTTATTTTCATTCCCTTGAATGCCAAACCTCAGAGAATGTTCAGGCCAGTAAAGGACTCCTTGGAGGACCCACCATCTCTCAGAATCATGGTTTAATATACATTAAAAGCTCTTCAACAAACCAATGCTTGCTTCTAGGTTAAAGTATCTGTCCACAGAAACTGAGGGCTGTTCTTTTTCTAACTAGAGAAGGCATCTTCTAGAGTACAGCCTCCTGAGCACATCCGGACATCTACTGGTAGTGTAAGAAAATGCAGTATTACAGAAGAAGGCAACACCACCACATTTGGCAAAACTGAAGTTTTCCTTACTTAAAAAGTTCCCATTAGATACTCGCGGGATAGTATCACAGTAAGGTCACTTTCCTGCTTCCTTTTTCTATATCAGGAAAAAAAGGCAGTCTGAGCCAGTAGGAGCACTGGTATTTGTGATGCCTCCGTTGCGTTCAGATAACGATGGGTACAACTGCAGTTCTGTTTCCAGTATTCACACCACACACGGTGATTTCTCAGACACTCACCTGTCAGTCTCCTCTGCTATTTAATTTTGGTTTAGTTTTCAACAGATACCAAACAACCTTTGGTTTACTGTATCTCACAGATGGCAGCTCAGCCTACTGAAGAACACCCAATCACATGGGAAACAAACCTCCATCTACAGTGATTCCCCATCACTGCCCAACATGTTATCTGACTCCATCACATCACATCACATCACAGGCAGCCAAGGGAGCACTGGAGCCTGGGTTTTAGCACAGGGGTGGTGCACCTTGCTGGTCCTCAGGCAGGTCAGTGGCTCCCTGCTTCTCGCTTAACTCACTGGCAGGCTCTTCATCAATCACTGCACCAAGGTCTTCACTGCCCCCCTCGCTCTG